GTAGGAGACGTTAATTTCCCACGCACGAGATTACTGTGTGATGGATGTCCTCCCCTGGGGTGGGATGGGTAGGTTGTTGTCTTGCGTTTCATACATGAGCCTCTGGCTCGGGCAATATGGGTAACCATGCCCCACGTAAAGACATTAAACTTTGATTACTATTACTATTACTGTTTGACGTCGATATACCACATTTCTTCACATCTATTGTCTTGCACAGGGCAGTGAAATGAATGGAAATTTTTTCGAAAGCAGGGTCAGTCCTTAAATGCCTCTGAGGTACACCTCAGCAGAACCAAACTTAACTGTCCCATCCCCTAGTATTTTGCCAGTAAAAGGCCAGTTGTAGGTAGAACCTCGTTAAAATGGTCATTCCCGCCTATGCACCAAAACTTGTGAATGCATTTTTTTGTTCTTTTTCTAGTTTTTGGCCAAGCAGCTTTTTATACATGTCGACTTTGATACCTACCATCTGGGTGGCTGAGTTGGCTATTTTGAATGAGAAGCTCAAATCAGGTCCAGAAAACTGCACGTTAGATACCGAACAGAATTATGATAAAATAGGCGGACTGGTATGTACCCTTTTGTTTCCTTGTAAACATTTCAATTGAAAATCACCTTCCAATTTTTAGATGTTGAAACTATGCTTGTTTTTTAATCTTTTTTAACCCTCTGGTTTCTTCCCCGTTGTTTATACTAGTTATAAACCTAATTTCTTAAGGGCAGCTGACTTTAAGGTCGTCATTGTTTCTGAATACACTTTGAAAGAGAATCACTTAGAAATATCACGAACGTTGTGAAGTTCGAAACTAAATGTCATCTTACGATCGTGTAGTCGGATCGTCCGGGTAAGCGTAGTCCCTGAGAAGGACTATTGTCGGTATTGGTGACTGACGTTTCGGCATCCTGAGCGGAAGTGAAAAGTCTTAAAAATTCTACTGACCTTTTACTTCCGGTGCTCATCCTTAGTTTTTATGGCATGAAGTGACAAGGCGTACTAACCCATTGTCCTGTGATCTTAAAGTTACCCGTAACATAGTTTTATAAAGTTAGAAAAGGATGATGGGTATTTGAGGTCATCTCAAATCGGGTACTGCGAGTTCGTTTATGCCTAACTGTATAGCTTCCCAGGTTCAGATGCAAAATTCAACATAAAGTAGCTTAGCAACTCCCGGGATTGCACTGACTTCAAAGCGCAAAAGAAACATGCATCCTATTGCGCGGGCTCTCCTGATATGACTGAATTGTGTTTGTTCACCAGATAACAGTGAGGACAGACTCTAGCCAGCTGGCACAGAAGTTTTCCAAACTCGGTCTGATCCTGTTGATTATTGTAGGCCGCTGGTTACTTCCCAGAGGAGAACTAACACGTGACCAGCTTTCTTCACTTTTATTAGTTTACGTGGCAAATGCTGCGGATATCATGGGTAAGTTACAGTTTTTATGATTATGGGGTTACAGTTTTTTATGATTATGGGGTTAAGATCTTCTGCGTGAAGATCTGTCCTCTGAGATGCGTTGTAAGGTAAAGTGGATATGTTTAGTATTGTCTGAAAAGGGTTTTTTTCAATTTTACTACAGAGTTGTTTGAAGTTTTTGATCAAGAACCAAAACTGTGGTGTATAGAGGGCGTGGCCCTAGCTGTCCTGGCCACATATACTTGGTCCTTTCTGCAGTTTTCCCTCGTGTTTACTGCCACAGCAGAAACTGTTCCCGACACAAAGGAAATACCGAAGGTACATCACTTCCGCTGTGTATAGGATTCTTTTTCAGCCAATCACCCCACTTGCTTCTTCATCACTGATTGCCAAGGGCGAGACTAGATCATAAAGTTTCCTTGCGATGACGTATTAACCGTTTGATCCCTAAAAGTGACTTGCATCCAGTTTGCTCGGACAACCAAAAGAAGCTCTTGAATTTGAAACATGTCCTCTTTGTCAGCACCTTAGAAAATCTATAGAGAAAATGCATACTGATGTTAGGGTATAGACGGTTAATGCGTTGATTCGTGGGGTACCTCTGCCTGGTATTATTGTCTGCGCGAAATTCGAAATCAAGCGCCAATCAGATCAGGTAACTTATGGGTGTTAACCTTTGTGTAGAGCAAAAAGGAAGAAAAGTCAAGCTCAATGTATTATGTTTGCTTAAGCCTTACGAGCCCTATTATTGCTCATTTCTGTCAGAGAGTACCTCAGTTTCTGTAACATATCTTGCCCTTTAGGATGTAGTCGGGTTTCAGGGAGTCGAAAAATGAAGATTCCAGTGCAATGACTCAACAAGTTTAATTTCAATGAGAAACCAAGCGCAAAGGTATCTCCATGCATGTGTAAGACCATGTACATTGAATGAGACCTGACACTATCCCGTGTGACACTATAGGGTGGGATATTGGCCTTTTGCAGTTTACCCCCTCCAGTCCCCACCTCCTTTCTAATTATTTAACAAGATTTCCACTGTCAGTCTTCAGGTACTTAGGTATAATTAACAATTATTCGCCTCAGCTTCGGTGAATATCGTCGAATAATCCCCGAGACGAAGTCGAGGGGATTATTCGACAATATTCACCGAAGCTGAGGCGAATAATTGTTTTAGTATAATTTCAGAGCTGAACAACAGAGAAAATTCTAAAATCATAACATTTTAGTAACATTTATTAACGCTTTAGTTTAACATTTTATATAAACCGCGCGGAGCGGTTTATATAGCGTCATATAAGGAACCGCTCGACCAATCAGATTGCCGGAAACTCTTTGTTCAGCTCTGAAATTATACTAATAATAATTATAATAGAAGTTAATTGAGACTCCCCCTATGAGGCTTTTCAGCCACAATGTAAACTAACTAAGGGCCTGATTACATGAGCCGGGCTGATTTCTTTTGTTTTCACGCTTTGGCGAACACCAAAACAAAAGAAATCAGCCCGGCTAACCGGGCCAGCCCGGCTCATGTAATCAGGCCCTAAGAGCTTAAAAATTCCCACTGGCAGGAGGCAGACCAGTGGGCTATTTACAGAGCGCAGCCGAGGAGTTGAACCAGGGGCAACCGAGAACAAATCCAGTGAGTGGCAGGGTGGAGGACTTGAACCCAGGACACCGGATTACAAGTCCACCACCCTAACCACTCGGTCACGCCGCCTCCTCTTAATTACACTCCTTTTAACACTTAACGATCTGTTCTTTTATTTTCGTTATTAGACGCCAACCCTAGAGGAAAATAACACTGATCGATCGCGCGACGGTCAAACGAAGTTACCAAAGTATATCAAGAAACTAATAAAACAGAAGCAAAAAAATGAACTGACCAAGATTGAAAAGTACACGGATTTACGTGCAGCTGTCGACCAAATGAAACAACTCAAAGCTTACAAAGATCGCGGCAGACAAGCAAGGTTCTCTATACACGACACAGCATTAGAGGTTGTGCAAGTACAACGAGAAGTTCGACGTGAGGAAGAAATCCTCGAGAAGCAGATCAAACAAAGACAAAAACTTAAACTGCACGGTGACTTGTATTCAATTTTGACTTTAATGTTGATGCAGGATGGACCATTTCTTATCGTGCGCCTTGTCTTGATAATTGCTTATGACGTGCAAGCTCTATTACATATATTTTTCACGGGAAAGAATGCAATGGCATTAGCTTTACTTATTTACAGGCTAGTGATTTTGGTAATGGAATCGAGTGAAGACGAGGAAGAAACTGATAGAGATAGTGAGTTTTATATGGCGTTAGAGGCATAAATGTAAAGTTCCAACTACCAAGTCTTGTGCATAACTTCCAAGGAATGCAAAATCATGTCGAAACTGATACGATGGGTTCATTGACAGCAATTTTTTTCATCCGTCACTCGACGATGACTTTACACCGACCATAAAGGATTTGAACAAGACGGTTTCGAAGCAGCAGAGGATTTAGCACTTCGTTCAATGCCGAGGAATTTCAGAACAGAACAAAAGTTGGGAAACGTTTGTTCTTTGGGCGTGTTCGCCTCTTGCAATCGAACGCACTATTGTTTTATATTACACTGAGGAACGGCCGACCAAAATGAGAACTTCCTCTGTGGCTGACTACACGCCATTCATAAGTCCGTGTGACAGGCAGTCAGTAGGATCATAAGTTTGTTTACCATTTGTTTACCTCTGTTTATCATCTGTTTACCTCTGTTTACCATCTGTTTACCTCTGTTTACCTCTGTCTATCATCTGTTTATCATCTGTTTACCATCTGTTTACCTCTGTTTATCTACTTCATTACATTTCTCACCCTTTCCCTTTCAGTATCATGATCAGACAAACTAATAGTGTTCTCAAAAATTAGATAAGTTACTCTCAATTGCCATAACAAACAGTTTATTACACTGCAGTGCATGGTTAATAATATGTGATGGTTCTTGTTTTCACCCAGTTCTTTCAAATAAACTTAATTCCTGGAAGAAGAAAGGAAAGTAAGTGTGCCAAGGGCTCATAATCTGGGCCACTTTTTAAAACACTTATTGTAACTTTGTACACTTAAAAGTATTTATTAATCACCTAACTTATCAGTAGATTTTAGAGCTTTAGAAATATTAAAAAAAAAAAAAAACACTTTCCCCAAGAGATTCGAATATTGAAAAATTTTTAGAGTTGTAAATAAAACTTGTTTTCATTATTAAGCCTCAGATTTCTTTTTAATCAGAAAAATATGATAAAAAAAAAAAAAGGAACACAGCTAAGTTAAGTATTAGGCCTCGACTTAATCTTCCTTTCAGTGCCGACCCCTTTCAATGAAAGGGATCCCAAATTTAATACAAGAACTTGATAACAGGGCTTGAGCAAATGTCCTCCCCTCCCCTCTCCCAGTGCATGCTCTCTGAGAACACAAAGGAGTTAAGATTGGGTACGAGTGAACTCGATTGGAACTGACTCGACGTGGTCGCATGCAGGAGGAGTAAGGGAGGAGGGGAATCGCAAATTTTTCGAACTATCTACAGTCTCAAGCTGTACAGGAGACATAAACGGGAATAAAAATTACGGCTCTCGGTCAAGGATAATGTACGTTTAACACAGAAGCCCCGTGCAGCACTGGCATGAAATGTATATTTGAGACAGGATCGAGCGCACCCTTAGATGTGTACAAGAGTATATGACCTAAGTTTCTCTGTTCCCCTTAGAGGGTCTCAGGGGATTGAACCGTTAGCCGTAAACGCTAAAAAAAAAAAAAAATAGCTGTTAAGCGTTAAACCTGACAAATTATGACCGTCAGTCTTAAAAAATGTAAACCGTAGAAAGTGCCCTTTAAATCGGAATGGAAATAAATTAACCGTCAGCCATAAAATGGCCAAGATTTTAGCCGTTCGCCGTAAGAGATATCATGCCTCCCCATTAGATAATGGATCGCCAAGCTGCAATTTATTCTGCAATTTGGGAAAAATGTAATTTAAACGGAGATCTTTTAAAAACCTGTCAGAAATTAAGGGATTGTTTGAAATACTCAGCAGTGATATTGTTAGCAAAATGGCTGATTCTGTAGGAAAATCTTTGTACTCTTTAGGGTATCACGTCGTCGTGGATCTCAAACAAGCCGACGTTTTTTGACAACTGGTACAAATTAGAAACAAGAAATGACGTCAATAAACCATTTAAAACATTTATATTCAAATTTGGGCTTTCTTTTTTCGAAAAACTTAATTCAGCGTCGATACTTTCGAAAACAATTTATCAAAAGTTGTCGTTGCCATGGATGAAAAAACCTCTAAATTCGACAGCATTGCACAAAATCCAACTCAGTTTCTTTGATAACTACTGTCCAATATGTATAGCCAACAAACTTAAGTCTATCAAACTTATAATTTTCCTCAACTTAAGTTTGCACCTGTCTCAAACTCCCAACAAAACCCTGAATTATCGTTATCGCTCGAAGTTTCAGTTTTTTTAAGTTTGCATTTTGTATCTCATTATCAATGGCAAACCTTTTAAGACTGACTTTTTTACATTTGGGTGATCTCTCCGTTATAAATAATGATTTATATCAAGCCGTAAATCGTCAAAAGAAATTCTGATAAAGTCTAATACGACAAACCCAAACTTTAATCACAAGCTCATTTACAATAGCATCTATTGAAAAAAAAAAAGTCAGCTTGCATTTGAAAAGGAAAATAAGCTTTCTAAGTGAACTTTTAACTGTGATAAATACGTCTATTTATTAAAAAAGAAAGATTGTTTCTGCCCCTAATAAAAGATACCCATGTAAATTCAAGAGGTTGTTTAAATTTTTAAATACAACACCTCCTGTGTTGTTATATTGTTCCCTTTCATTGTTTTTTTTTATTGCAGCTTCATAACATATAACATGTTGCAATCGTTTGACACCTGAGTTTTATTGTTGATAATCGCCTCAGCGAAACCGTTCAGGCAAAAAAAATCCTACAATTAGACGTTAAATTTACGCTCTGTTTTTTCAACCTCAATCTTACAACATCTTCGTGCTGACTTCACCGAGAGGTATCAATTAAAACCAACCTGGGGGTTCCTCTGTTGATTCTCAAAAAATGCTAAATACAATAAACAACATGAATAATTCACAACTGCTGAAGAGTGGCGAAGCAGAATATTGGAACTCTTAATGAGAGCATATCCGCGCTCAGCCAAGTGTTATACCCGGTGGGAGGCAGACCATTTTCAAAACATATCGCCCAGACGTCGCAATGTAGTGGTTTCTCACGCTAAAACTAAACGCTCTTTCATAGAATAAATCAGCAATTGAGATGCGATCGTGATAAGCTCGGCCCATCTGATATGCTGTCATATATAAATAAGTTGTCCACCACATCAGACACAGCGGAGATGAAATCTGCTCTTAGGGCTACCAATGACTTCAGGGTTGGGCCTAAATTGTACAGTAAAAACTACAACCAACGGGCGAGTTTCCCACCAGAAGCTCTGAGCTCATTGGGAGACTCTGCATCAGAGGACAGAAGACTATACGACACACGAGTAAAGATCAACATAAGCGGAAAAGTGTATGAAACTCTGTATTCGACATTGGCGAAATTTCCAAACACCCTTCTTGGAAATCCCTCTAAAAGAGAGCAATACTTTGATCAAACGAGACAAGAGTATTTCTTTAATCGGAATCGCAATGCTTTTGATGCAATTTTGTTTTATTACCAATCGAATGGTCTTCTCACGCGACCAAATAACGTCAGATTGCAAGAATTTTGCGACGAGCTGAATTTTTTTCAAATCGAGGAAGAAATTGTAAATGAGTTCAAACGAGACGAGTGTGGAATCGAAGATGAAGACGATGAAGAAGTCGTTCTGCCATCAAATGCTATCTTAGCCAAACTATGGCTGTGGTTGGAGTATCCCAAGTATTCTAAAGTTGCTAAACTTTTTGCTGTTTTCTCCGTTACTTTTATCGCAATTTACATCTACGTTCTATGCGCGGAGAAAATTGATGGCGATAGAACAGATACAAACTCAACAGAGTCTTCTGGGTACCAGGGGAAACACTTAACATCAATGCACGACATTTTGGAATCAGTTTGTATTTCTTGGTTCACCTTAGAATTCATCTTACGACTCATTTCATGTCCAAACAAATTGCGATTCATCCTCAACATTTTGAATATAATAGATCTAGCCTCTATTCTGCCATACTATTTCGAGCTCTCTCTAGGTGAATTTGAAGGTGATAACTTTATCAACGCCACGAGACTCCTAATAAGAGTTTCCAGGTTGTCTAAACTAGCCCGACATCTGGACGAGCTTACAGTTCTCGCTAAAACAGTGCGCTCGACTTGGCGAGAACTTGTCATGATCTTGTTTTTTATTCTCATAACTACCGCTATTTTTTCCGGGTGGACATTTTATGTGGAGTATGAGGAGCAAAAGTCGTTTTCCAGTATCCCCGCTACAGCTTGGTTTGTGATCATTTCAATGACAAATGTTGGATACGGGGACATGGTTCCAGTGACTCTGATGGGGAAGTTACTCGGTGCTATCTGCGCTATAGCAGGTTTATTAGTAATCGCATTACCCAGTCCCATCATATTCACGAAATTTCGTCTATATTACGAGAAGGAAAAGAGGAAAAAATTGCCCAGTTATAAATTGTAGTCTCGGTTACTTCCGTATCAAATACACACTCTAGCGTACATCATCAAAGTGCGGGGGTTTTCACTAATAAAAGGACGCGCGGAATAATTATGAATAAAAAAGAGAGTGTTAACTATAACTGGAGCTCGTGATTAAACAAAGAAAAAATATCTCATGTTTTTTAGATGGCATCAGAACTTTGAAATATGATCTTCTTGCAACAAATTGCAAATAGATATCATTTTGGCTTGTAACACACCGGAACGTTTTACTGATTAAAATATCAACTGAATAAAGGCTGATAGTTTCGAAAGAAACTGTTTGGGGCTGCGTCGGTGGGAGTAACGAAATAATTTGGATATGTCAAAAAAGTTGAAATGGTAATTATCAACTGATAGCTTTTCTCTCAATAGATTAAAAAAAAATCCGCTATCTTTAGACAAATTTCATGGCTCGACTTTTCATTCGGTCGAATTTTTCAGGTTAATTCGCTAAAAGGTTTTCAGTACACAAAATTTGCTGGAATTGAAACTGGATACGTCGCGAATTACGCTTTTTTTCTGCCCCATGAAGCAAACAGACAAATATATTAAGTCCATATTTCGACTCATGAACTATCTTATGTAAATGAATTCAATCGTTCTTTGTTTTTTTTCATATTTTCTGCTTGCTCTTTGTGATTGGCTGAACCATTGCAGCTGGATTAGTTTGACATCGACTCCACCCACCCCATCCCCTTTCTTCCTAATTTTCCTGAAAACAGTCACTCATTCACCACAGCTTACCAGACTGAAGCAGTGGTGGATCCAGACCTTGAGCTGGGGGGGGGGGGCTCCCGGCTTTTCTTCCCTCTGCGTTTATTTTTTACCCAAAAAAAAGGGGGGGCAGATCCTCTCTGTAAATGATGAAACAGAGAAAAACATGACAATTAAAATTACATAATACTACCTTATTCCGTATTATTAAAACTTCATAACGTTCCTAAGCTAGTGCAGAGTTGAATATTCAAGAAGTGAAAATTCATCTGACGTGACATATAAATATTGTAAAATTGTTGTTTTTCTTGATCATAAAGTGCAACATGGCTGTAAGATCTAAGCGCTTGCTAATTTTTTTTCGTAATTCCTATTCATTTATTTCGTCCTTAATTTTTTCAAACCTTCTCATTGTGGTTTTTTTTGTTTTTGAGTTTATTAGCGTTTTCTTCGTCAGTTACATCTGTTTTGCACTCTTCTTATACCGCACGTTATTTTACAATCCTCTTGTATTAAAAGCCAGTTTCTTCAAGTCAGTTTATCCAAAGTCGCGCTCGGCGCAGTTCTCTGTTTAGAAGTCTTCAAGTTATTCGGTAGAACAGTTGTGTTAAGCGTTATCAATGTAAGTGTTTTTTTTTTCGTATCGCTTCGTTTGCATTCATTTTTCGGCTGGTAATTTGTTTATCTGAGTTAAATTAACATATGATATCGACCCAAAAATTGATATGCGGAACCCCATCCATTTTTGAGCTTTCGATAATGATCACACGAATTAAGAGGTATTGTAAAGGTGGCTCTGAACCCTTACATACTCTGTCACCCCGTCTTCATAGCACTTTCAGGCTCGGCTGCTAAGTATTTTGCTTCTGGCATACATAAAGTACCAGCCTATCTCAAACTTTGGTGCTTTTTGTGGCACTGTTGTTTTCAAATTAAACCTCGAAAATGGGTTCCAGGAAAGCTTTTATTTTAGTTTTGCTTTGTGTCCTCGGATTTTCTATATCCTCTTCAAGACATGCTGAAGGTAAGATTATCTTTTATCGAAAATCACGCTGTACTAATCGCTTCATCAGTTGGGTACGCAAACGTTCACGGAATATTGTATTTGTACACATAATTTATACTGTACTAGCACAGATTTCCACGTAAGCCTTTGGTCAACCTGAATATTATTTTACAAACCCTGTGAAACACGAGGCAAGGACTCGCTTTTTCGTTATTATATATGTCATCGCATGTTTTTATAAATTATTTTCTCTTATGAAAGCTACATTATACATAAATTGGCCCAAATTTAATAAACATAGTTAAGGCAGACGAACTCGACTTCAATATTTTTAAGCTTAGTTAAAAGATAAGTAACAAGTCAAAAATTAAACACAAATTTTGTTGTATAGAATTTAAAATGCAGCAATACGAAAATGTAGTGTCTGAAAATCGATCAAATGTCTGACGAGAGGCAAATGCACGGCGGATTAATGATTGCGCATGCAGTTAGGATGACAATTAACAAATGGTAAACACCACAGCGTACACTATTGAGTTATGGATGCACGCGGGAGGTTGCTAAGCACGAAAGAAGCGTAAGAGTCGCTCGAGGCGATAGCCGAGAGCGACTCTAGCTTCTTGAGTGCTTAGCAAACCTCCCAAGTGCATCCATAACTCAATAGTGTACGCTGTGGTGTTTACCATTTGTTTTATAACATAACATTGATACATTGTAGCTAAAGAGTTCCCTTTTATTTAACAAATCTTACGCTTAGAATGCAGACCAGAAAAAACAAGCGCGCGCGGAAAAATAGTCTTTGCATTTGCTCACGTCAGCAGCGTACACCCATGGGCAAATGGGGGACGCTAAATTGACCAATCAGAGCGCGCGCTTTACTTTGGTTATGTTATAATTTAGTTTGGTTATTTTACCTCTGCTTCACATAGTACCATTAAAATTAGACTTCCATTTTCATGCTCAGCATTGTTTGAGATGCAGCAGCTTAAATTAACAATGGCTCAAAAGGAACACTTAAAACTTGGGAACATAACTCAATAATTTGTGATTGTAGTTCAGCAAATTGGGATTGCAACGGTACAATTTGTGACATATGCATTATTAACCAATTGTGAGGTCGAGATGGTTGGATATTGGCAGAGTTCTTTTTTTGCATTTTTATTGACCGAGACAATCAGCCATCTTGACCAAACAAGCTTGGTTAATAAGGGATTTACTATAATTATTGCAAAAAGATTTCACTTTATCAAAAATTATGAATGACTTGTTTACTTTGAGAGCTGGGAAAGAAAGTCAACTGTGTTTGTAACACAACAAACTCACAAGAGTTGTTTCTGTTTTCTTTGTTTTGACTATCTTCTGCCACTATTTGCATTTCCCTCACTGAAATTGTTCAAGAATCACGATTGTAGTTCTAATTCTATTCTTTCTCATGCACGGGATCGATGTAGGCAATCTCGAGCAGGCAAGATGGGCCCATCTTGCCTGCTCGGGTAGCCAATCAGAACACAGGACTCCCTTTATCTTGCCCAGGGGTGCTGTGAGCGATGTAATAATGGAAGATAGTGACAGCGCATTGTTGTAACTTATAATAGCTACTTGGTAGTCTAAGAATTTAAACTGGTCAATACAGCTCAGCCAATGCACAAGCAAAACCTTAACAGGATTTTTTTTTGCATTATACACAAAAAAAAGCACACATGTATCAAAGTGATTGCAAGTTGGTAACTTGTAATAATTATAAAAAAGTTAAGTCATTTAGTAACAGCTATGCAAAAGTGATTGGAAACCTTTTTCACAACTTTTTTGCACAACCCTGCACAAGTTCAGAAAGCTATGTACTATACTGTGTAAAGGGATCACTTGCATTTTGAGGAAAGTGTGTTTTATCTGAACAGTCAGTTTACACTTTGGATGTTGAAATTATGGTGGGCTGTGGTTTTTCTCAACCCATCAGTTGAGCTCTGGACTGATTAAGAAAAAACAATCAGAAATGTTGAAAACCAATCAATAACAAAGTAGGATTGTGTTTCCTAAGGTAACAAATAAGTATTCCACACAATGTGCCTGATCATTGATACTGGTAGTTTACAGTGAAAACATCATAATCTAGAAATGTCCATGTTGTCAGGCGAACATAACAACTTGTTATCATCAATTCAATATTGTTTAGATTCTCGTGAATATGAAGACGAAGAGGCTGACGAGGAAGAAACAGAGGATGTTAGGGACTCAGAGGGTGAAGAAGACCAAGATGACAGTGACAACCGAGACAGTAAAGGAAGAGCAGGAGATGAGGAAGTAGTGAAGATACCTGGCCGATCATCAGATATTAATGAGGAGGCTGAAGAGGTTGAGGACGAGGAAAAAGGTTACAATGAAGAAGAAGGAGAAGAAGAAGAAGAAGAAGATGGAGAAGAAGAAGGGGATGAAGGAGAAAATACTCAAGATCATCGAATGATGGATGGTGATGAAGGAGGAATGCCATTGCCTGACAATGATGTTGAGGTGTATTCACCAGAGCAAACTGGGATTGAAGATTTTCAGAGGGTAAGTTCACAATTGCAAAACAAGATACAGTTGAAACTTTATTAAGCCGCACCTTATTAAGTAGTCACCCTGTATTAGGGGTGAGTTGTCAAAGTCCTGAAGTTTTTTCATTTAATAACTAATTTTCATTTCTGTTAAGCACTCACCTTAATCAAGCAGTTGTGGTCATCCTTTGCTAAGTCTCAATGGCCTGTTGTGGGGGAAGTCGAGGGTTTGAGCCCCATCCGGACCAACACTCAAGGTCTTAAAATAATTGAGAAGAATTTGCTACCTTTCTATAACATCGAGAAATGGTTAGATATTCTAGTCTTCTCAGATAAGGACGAATAAACGGAGGTCTCATCTCCTGCAGGGTTGGGGTAGGAGACATTAATTTCCCACACACGAGATTACTGTGTGATGGATGTCCTCCCCTGGGGTGGGATGGGTGGGAAGATAGCAGGTCTACATCAGCAAATAGCTGCGGCAGCCATAATTCAACCTCCTCAAACAAATAAAGGAGATGAGATGAGATGAGAAGAGATTGTTCTCCACCTGTATTGAATGATCACTTGATGTATAACCTTTCAAATAAAACTAAGAATAATCTTTCAGACAATTGAAAATTTAATCAATCTATGTCTGCAAAAATCAGTTTTTGTAAACTAAGTGGTCAATTATAGCAAAACACGACATCTTCTTTCTCTTGTTATCATATTCCTATTCTGTGGAATGTGTATTAGTTGGTCAACCTTTGTTAAGCAGTCACCTTGTCATTCCCCATGGCTGACAGGTAGGACTGTAATTAGGAAATTTGTTTGAGCCACTGAAAGGTTTAGATAGGTGATAGCAGCAAATAAAGTTGATCTTGATTTAACGTAAGGAAGAGGTTTACTAATTAAGCCATATAACTGAGCAAGATGACATATTGT